CGGGGGCCGCCCGGGGCTGCTCCGGTAAGGGGTCCGACCGCGGGCGGAGAGCGCCAAGCCGTGGAGGAGCGGGCGTCAGGTGCAGAACTTCTGTAAGGTCTGGAAGCCGGACGTGCGTGGACGTTCATACGCACGGACCTGAAGTTACGGAGGTCGCACTCACAGGCCGTTCTGCTGCACAGACCGGAGCCCCCGCTGCCAGTGTGTGTCCACCTGTACAGGTCAGTTTAAGGAAGACCTCCGGGCTCGCACGACCCCCCACAGTCACCTCTCCGAAGTGGTCTTGAACAGACGCTGTTTCCTTCACTGTACATTAAGCCACCAGGGAGCGAGCTGCCCTGAAAATAAGACCTGAGAGGACGCAGTCAGGCTGGCGGGGCCGCAGTCCCGGGCCTCACCTCCCGCTGCGCCCCTTCCGCTGCTCCAGCGCTGGAAGGAATTGAAAGGTTACTCCCAGTGCTCAAGTTTTCTCCTACTGTCCTGTCCCCACAATTCCCCAAGCATATCCTGGACTTTCAGGGCCTCTCGTATTTGCCAGGCATTTTCCCAAACAACTCGAAAAATTCTTAAGAAAAAATTCCAATTATATTACAACTTTTGTTAATTATTTAGCTCAGCAGTCCTCCGTTCAATGCCTGGTACAAAAAATAAAAATAAATAGGCAGCTAACAACTTTGAGGAATGAGGTTTGTGAATGATATTTCAGTGATACTATATGCCTTTATTAATCAAATATACTTCCTAAGATTGCTGAATTGTTTTTTCAAAATCAGCTATTTCTTTAAAACTGATTTGTAATCAAAGTATAAATTCAAATATACCATCCTATTTTATTACATATAGTCAATTTAATTTTTAGCCGTCTTAACATTCTTGTGTGTTGCAGCATTATCCTGTTTACATCTGAGTTTTATCCAGAGTAAATAAAGTAATATTCTGCTTTTAGAGTAGTGTTCCAAAGATTATAGTGATTTGCTAAGTTTCTTAAAAATTGTTGAATTTTGCAGGTCTTTCTTCTTTGGAAATAGATGATGCAGGTTTTGTTGATGTGCCATATTTTAAGTCGCTTATGGCTGCTCTTTGCTTTGAACATTTTGTCATTCATCTTAAAATAGTGGGACAAAAATTGGCACAATTTTAAGATGGGCTTTAAAAACAAAAAGAAAACAACTCCCTTTGCCAGGTTGTGATTGATATCTAGTAGTGTGATTATGTTTTAAAAGTTCCCATCATTTGTAGCCTGTATTTTTTTATTTTTTTATTTTTTTATTTTAGTACCTGGGATTAAACTCAGGACTTTGCACTTGCTAGGCAGGTGCAGTGCTACTGAGCAATATCCCCAGCCCTGTATTTTAGGCATGGTTCATCAAATTTATATAGATATCTATACTTCTTGAAAAGTTACTGCAAGACACCAAATTGCTCAGTTTTATTAACCACTCGTTTTACTAAAAGATATTTTCTTTCCAAGTCTAATGCAAAATTTTCAGAAAACATGAAATGAAAGTAAAACACTTTAACATATGTCTGTGCTAAGTGAGTTTTAGACCTAGATCAAATTCTGTTACAACAAACACTATGAAAAGCAAATATGTGCAGTTTTACAAAGCCCCTTTATTCAAAGCAGTGTTAGATCTGATGAGTTTTTATTTCATGGAAAGGGATGTGAATAGCAAAGGGCATAGACTCCAGTCTGCGACCAGCCTGAAATTTTCAGGTTTTTAGAGGACTGACACAGTAAGAAGTCCACCCTTCTCTTACCATTATCAGTGTGTATCAAATATCGCCACATCCACTGCCCTAGTCCAAATGTCTGTTACCTCTTTCTTGAACCATGACAATATCCTTCTCACTACTGTCTCTAATTCTGATGTTGTGTATTCTCAGTATCCAAAAGCCAGAGTGATATTTTTTTTAAAACGTAGATCACATGTTAGTGCTTCCCTGTTAAATCATCTAATGATTTCATATCACACTCAGAATAATATCCACACTGTACTCTGTTTAAAAAGTTGTGCCTATCTGGACTCTACCTGCCTCCCGCTAAATGACTGCTTCCCTCAGTGCAGGTGTCCCTGATGGCTCACATGCAGCTGGTTTCCGCTGGCCAGTTCTTGTTCTGCCTCTCCTTTCTACTAGAAATGCACTCATCAAAGCAAGGAAACTTCCTGTCCTTTAGGTCAGACTTAATGGCAGTCTTTTCAGAGAAACCCTCCCTAACCACCCATGCTAGAGGAGCTTTACCGGGTCTGGAACTTTTTAAAAAGTAAATTAATGGATTTCATTTTTCTAAATAAGGTTTAAAGATTTCTAGAACAGAGCCAGGCGTGATGGCGTGTACTTGTAATCCCAGCACTCGGGAGGCTGAGGCAGGAGGATCGCTGTGAGTTCGAGACCAGCCTGGGCTACATAGTGAGTTCCAGGTCAGTCTCAACTACATAGTGAAGTCTGGCATTCCCATGTATCTTCTTAAACTCCAAATAACCAAATTCTCCCAATGTGAACATCTTGCATTAATGTGGCATGTTTCTTACAACTGATAAGCCAGTATTGAGTAATGTTGAATATAGCTCATGGTTTACAGTAGAGTTCAGTCTTGGTGTTGTACCTCCTTCAGCTTTTGACATGTATAATGCCACATATCCGCCATTACAGTATCATCCAGAACAGTTTTATTTCTCTATCTCCTGTACCCTACCAATTCGTCCCTCCTTCTCCTTCTCTGAACTATGAATCTTTTTAATATCTCCCTAGTTTGGGCTAAAAATATCATATAGTTGTAATTATGTAAATGCTTCTTTCGCTTAGTAATATGTGCCTAAGTTTCTTCTGTGTCTTCTAATAGCTTGATATTCATTTTTATTGCTGAGTACTATTCCACTGTGTTAGGGTTTAACTTGTGCCCCCCCCACACACACACACACACTGAAGTCCTTATCACCTGTGAATGTCACCTTATTTGTAAATAGGGTTTTTGCAATTGACCAAGGTAAGGCATTGTCCTTAGAGTGAGCCCTAACTCCAGCGTGACAGGAAAAGGGCTCATGGGCTGCAGAGCAGAGGCACGGAAGAGTGCCAGGTGAAGACCAAAGTGACTCTGCTGCGCTCTGGTGAGTAACAAAGATTGCCACCGATCACTAGAAGCTGGCAAAGAGACAGAAGAGATTCTACCTCATGGCCCTCAGAAGGAACTACCTCTGCCATTACCTTGATTGAAGATTTCCAGAACTGTGTGGAAATTAATTTCTGTTGTGCGAGCTGCTGGATTTATACTGCTTTGTTGTGGCCTCCCAGGAAACTAATACACATCTCACGGCTGTAGCCGCTTGGCTTTTTATTCACTTATTGAAGCTCCTCTTGCTTGCTTCCAAATTTTGGCACTTATGAAAAAATGCTGCTATCAACATCCATGTGCAGGCTTTTGTATGGATGTTAGCTTTCAGCTCTTTGACAAAATATTAAGGAATACAATGATAAACCTTATGTTTCCTCTGGTAAGAATCTGTCAAATTTGTTTCCAGTGAAGCTGCCCCACGCTGCACTCTCACCAACAATGGAGAAAGTCTCTTTGCTACTTATCTTCTCCAGCTTCTGTTGTCAGTGTTTTGGATTTTGGTTCTTACGATGACTGTACAGTGGCAGCATATTGTTTTAACTTGTAGTTCCCTTGAAGACATATGAGCATCTTTTCATGTGTTTATTTGCTATCTACACATCTTCTTTGTTTGTTCATACTATCAGCCAATTTTTTAATTGAGCTTTTTTTGTAATTATTTTTATATTTTCATTACTGGTCTTTCATTCGATACACGTTTTCCAAATATTCCAGCCCCATCGGTGGCTTGGCTTTTCATTTCTTACTTTTGCATCTTACAGAGCAGGTGTATTCAATTTTAGTAAAGTCCAATTTAACAGTTTTCCTTTTCATTCATCATGCTTTCACTGTGGCATCTAAAATGTCATCTCAAAATGCAAGATCACCTGGGTTTCCTTTCTGTCATCGTCTAGGAGTTTTATGGATTTTCATTTTATAGTCAGGGTCTGCAGTTCTGAGGTAATCTTTGTGGGAGGTGCAACGACTGTGTCTAGATTCTTTCTGGCGTGTGGATATCTCCTTGAGCCCCACCAGCCATGGTCTTCTCCCAACACACTGCCATTGCTCGCGCCAAATGGGAGTTCACTTATTCTGTGAGCTGTTTCTGGGCTTTCCTTTTAGTTCCTTTGATCAATTTGTCTATCCTTTCAACAATGTCGTATTGTCTTCGTTAGTATAATAAACTGTTTTAGGAATATAAATGATCATAAATTTAATATTTCCTTGCACTTGTATCTATAGACTGTATATCACCATTGAACAACAATTTTGCAAAAGCAGAGAATTTTTAAAATTTTATCAAATTCTGTGTCCGTAACATCAAAAGCAATCCAAAAATTACTTGACAGTGGAGTTTCTGACTGATATTTGGGGAGTGAGTGAATAATTATCCTCTGTTTTAATCTAATAACACAGTTATTCCTGTATGCTTACATGTGTGTGAGTATGTATGCACATAAGAAAAATTCTGAAATTTAGTGACACTTTAATTTTACATGTGAATCCTAAAAATCATTTGGTCACGTTCCACTAATTCCACTATTTAAACTGTTTATACTAAGATAATTTAAGCTCTCAGCTTTTGTTTTCAAACTCAGTTCTTACATCTTACCTCCTAAAAAATGAATTATTTAGATTTTATGTGTTACATTACACTAACATCTTTATTACTCGGTGGCCAGAGATTTTGCCTTATTTTTTTTAATTGAGTTTATTGGTACATTTTAGGTATACAGTACAGTTACATTCATTATTGGGATCTTGTACCTTTACATGACAGGTCTTGGTTCTCATTTTTTCCCCTTGTCCCTGCCCTCCCCTCACCCTCTCTTCTCCTCCCCATTTACAAACATTTTATTTCCATTGTTTCATTTTCTCATATTTTTTCCTTTCCCTTATTACCTTTCTCCTACCCTTCCCTCTTTCCCTACACCTTTAGCCCTTTTCTTCCTATTTCACATTGCCAATCATCTCATTAGAATCTTATGTACTATTACAGTTTATTCACACCAGAAAAACCATTCAATATTTATACATGTGTGACTTATTTATTTCACTTAGGAGTATATCCTCAATATGTATCCATTTTCCTATGAATGAATCTAATTTCTCATTCTTTCTGGCTGA